ACCGGACTGCTTTTCAAAATGTAGTACTACGTGTGGGGAATTAGCCTGACAGTATTCATTATTCAAGTGCATAAATGTACCATGAAACCTAAATCATCCAATGACTTCTCCCGCCTTTGTTAGGCGAGAGGGAGTGTCAGACTCTTAATGAATAAAAACCATCCCGTTTTTACTCCTGCACTTCATGCCGGAGCACTAGCGGTTGCCGTATCAGCATCAGCCCTATTGGGCACCATCGGTGGTGGTTTTATAGTTCCTTGAGGCGCGAGCGGAACGTGACGCTCCGTATGCTGGGTCTGATTCAGGTCAAGAAATGAAAGTACTTTTTGTTTGTCAGCAGAACAGCAGTCAGAGCATCAAAATTTATAGTTAGATTTTTTATACTGCTCACTGCAAATATGACATACATAATATGTGTCCTCAAAACACATTTACCACGCATTCCAAAAAGAGTTAATATGCTATTATTTTAATTTCTCTAAAGCAACATTTTAAACTTCAATTATAAAGTGTCTCAGTTGGAGGGTGCCACGGTTAATTGCACCTCTAGTAGCACCTGGTTTTAATATATTTTATATACCTATTAGGTACAAAAAATTAAATATAGACAATATCGATGTAACCTAAGTATGAGTAACAATAGTGATGGAACAAAAAAATTTTTTCACACTCATGACAAAAAACCACCGTTTTACACAGCAAGACAGGATACAATTTTAACTTTCACCTGGTAAATATACTAGATAGCAAATACAATAAGTATGGAACATAGATAAATATTATCAAGGATAAAGACATGTTTAGTTTAACTAAAAATGATTTCTAATAGAAACCATTTAATAAGTACATAATACCCAGATAGAAAATTCTTTTCTTATTAGATTCAACCAGATTTTAAAAGATTTAATCCAACACCAGTCAACAGCCTTAAATTTATATTTCAACGCCAATCTATCACAACCATAGATGAATACAATAATAAATATATACAACGCTGTAAAACTTGATATAGGACAACCAGATAGGTATTTAGAAGTTCGGTAATTATATTTACTGTTGTCAATAACATTAATATACCATCGTTTGGATAAGACCATTACACATTTGGAATACCAAACCAGACATTTTCGAATAGAATACGAAATCAACAACAACAATATAAGACTGGAAACACAATAAACACCTCTAACAGTGCCTCAGACTTTAAAAAGCCAGATACTTTATCTAAACTTACCTCTATTGCGACTATTCCATCTTTCTTCGTCAGACATTTTGTAGGTTAATACAGTATTGCATGTAACATTAGCCGTGGTAGTTAACCAATTGAAAAAAAACAATAATTAAAAACGAATCAGCGTCATTCGAATTTTTGTCTTACATTTAAATATAGCATGAAACACAAAACGAGAAAAAAGATAACATTTCAAGTCGTTCAAAAAGGTTTTCTTCTTTACGGTCAATTGCCAGTGCCACTGTCAGTGTCAAGTCAAGTGTCAGGTCAATTTACTTTACATTATATTATTTTTATTCCATAGACAGTTGTTTTGCATATTTTCGTATCCAATGGATGGGAAATAATTGTCTATGGGCATAATAACATGCAGTTTGTCCAATTAATTAGGAAAATCAATGAGGGCGCCACGGGTAGTTCACATAGCAACACCTACAGCGTATAGGTTGTCAATTTAAGAATGATTTTTGAGCATTCTTTCGTTTCTACAGGAACTAACAACATTAAAACTACGGCATTACTCAATGAAAGTACGTTAAATGTCATCAGCATTGAGTTTGATATACATAAAATTGAAATGTTAAAAGAAGCACAGGCCGTGGGTACAATGCTCGATAATGTTCAAATAACGTTTCTGCGGAGGGTACCGTAATGCTAGTAGTATCCTGGCTTTCTGGTAAGGGCAAACGGTCAGCCAAGAAGTGCTGTGCTGGTGGTATGAACCCGGAGATGATGGTGTCGATGTGGTAGTGTAGGTACTCCTAGGATGTGAGAACAGTCGTTAAGCCCGGACTTTGGACCCTGGAGCCCCGTAATATACAACCGGTCCAGTTCCTTTCTCTTGACCGTAATCAGCGCGCAACCATGAAACGAAAATATCAGTGTTTAAGGTGAATGTGATGAAAGTGTAGCGGGTTCGATTCCCTCACGGACAATTGTTGTTTCGGGTCTGGGTGTCATGTGTATGTAGAGATGGGATTTTACCCGGAAAAAACCCGAATATGGGAAAAAACCGGGAAAAACCCCGGGGAAAATTCCCGAATGGGAAAATATTCGGGTTTTTTCATATTTAAACTGTCAAACACCAAGCGGTCACCGGTGACCGCGACCTATTGTTCTTTAATTGTGTCTATAAAACCGGTACTCGACGAGTTAACACATGTAACAAATAAGTAATGTGTAGATTATGTACATATCATATAGTACGTACTATTTAAGAACTATTACTACAAGTTAGAGCTAATCTAACTTTGTTTATGTCCATAATGCAGTAATAACGTTCTTAAGATCCTTAGGTACCTACTATCAAATGAAATAAAATAAAATTAACCAAAAATCCTGTCTGTTTGTGTGTGATCCTCCGCCCTTAGCGACAGGTAACCCGAAAATACGTGAGCGGGTAGAGGGGCAGGGAAGCAGGTAGTAGAGGGGCGAGCGCGTTGGTGATCTATCTATCTCACACGTTGTTTCGGCTTCATACTGTGCGTACTCATGTTAATTTGTTGGTTTAATTGACGACTTGGATTTTGTATGGAGGACTTTTGGTTACCTAATGATTTCCTTTGAATTGACAACAACTGCTACTCTTACGGACTTTGATACCTACTTTTTTTTACGAACGAAATTTACCGGTAAATTTATAGTTTTGTATCTTTTGTAAAGTATAATAAATAATTGTTAGTAAGAGTATCTCTCGTTGTTTTATTATATTTTTTCGTCAAACATTCTTTAAAGTTAATAAGTTTTTTTTCTGCTGTTAACATTCCATCACAGAGCGCATTAAAAACTTATTATAAAACAAGAAGACGTCTTTATGGTGTTATAATAAATATGCTGGTTATGTTTTAGTTCTTGAAACAGACTACACATTTTAACGTTTCAAATAACAGACAACAGCTAGTGCCTTATATAAATACAAATATTCACAATACACATTATATATGATATTTCTGAAACCAGCACTGTATTTAATATAAATAACAGATGCAACTCAAATTCCGCGCCAAAATGGAAAACAGTTGTGCCAATGTAACAACTACATAAAAACAAAAATTTGAATTTGGAACCAAACAAATCATCCATTCCCAATACTTTTTTGAGTGAACGTATATGTGCATCACAAAGTACCTGTTTCTTTAGTTTTGAAAATAAAAATAGAATAAGATCATTATAAATGAAAATACCCGCCTATTGGGTTTTTTCCCACATAAAAACCGGGATTTTCCCAAATGGGAAAAAATCTGGGTTTTTTCCCTTTGGGTTTTTTCCCAGTGCCCATCTCTATGTGTATGTAATATTGTATGTTTGTAACCGCACCCACGACACAGGAGAAAATCCTAACGTGGGGCAATGATATAACAAAAAGATATAACATATATGAGAGGAGGTTCTCAGGATTGGAAATTAGTAAAGTAGAGTTCGGATAATAATTGTATTTCGAGAAACAACTCACTGGAATTACTGATTAGATACAACGTTAAAATTATGGATACAGGCGGGTAAAACTTAATATTACACATGAATGCATAGTTGGCGCGCACTGTGATACCTACATCACAGACTTAAAATAGATAATAAGACCGAACATTAGTTAAAATTTGTGAAGCCTAAAACATACATGCGCAATTTATAGCTTATAAAAGCGGTCGGACTCAAGGACAAGGTCCGCACTAGAAATAAAGGACATAATTATTATACCTACATAGAAATAAGTGTGTTTTATCATCATCAATCATGTGGACAATTATCATCATCAACAGCCGAAAGACGGCCACTGTTGGACAAAGGCTCCCCCTTTGTCCTCCACGTCGAACGACAACTCGACACTTGCATCCACTAGCTCCCCGCAACTCGACTAAAAATTTAGTTTAAACAATTATTTAATACGTATGTATGTATTAAATATTTTTTATATACTCACTAGCGGACCCGACAGACGTCGTTGTCCTACATATCCACTTGAAAGTATAAACAAAAATTCATTCAAATAAGTTCAGCCGTTATCTGCCGGGCTGATTTATGAATCTAAACCATTCCCAGATCCCCTTGAATACATACAAAAAATTTCATCAAAATCGATCCAGTCGTTTGAGAGAAGTTCAGTGGCATACACACTCACAAAAGAATTATATATATATATAAAGTTAATATAGAAAATGTGTAAAAGATTTCTTTTTCAATAAAACACGTTGAAGGGAGAATAATATTTTTTATTAAGGCACTTAGTTTAATCTTTCGAAACACTAAATCCGTTCTCTATTGATTGTACAAGTACTTGAACTGCCATGAATAAAAATTTAAGTTGATTTTATTTGTTTACTGGCTTTTACCCGCGGCTTCGCTCACGTCACAAAAGGATAAAAAGTATCCTATGTGACATATACCAATACACACAGCGCCATCTATACCAATTCTTTTGTTTCCCCTCGGGAATATCAAAATATCATCATCATAATACGTATAATATACGTATAACTAGGAGTTAATGTTCGGTCTGCTTATATATTTTAAGTCTGTAGTAGGTATGCATGTTTTTTTCGAATGTATTTCCAATCCAATTGATTTAAGTACATCAATGATTGCGTGCTTAACGGAATCTGTAACCATTTGTATTCTGTGGCATGTGTCGACGTTATTGCTGGAAAAGTCTGTGAACCCTCCGTCCGCCGTCAGTTCAGTCTCAGTCTGGCATAGTGCTTTATTCAATGACGTGATTGACGTACATTTTTGTAATATAAATTAAACGTCCATTTTATTAAATTGTGAGAAAATGGTTCGCTTGCGAGTGCGTGTGAACTTTAAATATATAACTAGTGTGTTCCTTTTGGTGTTTGCTGTTAGCCAGTCTACCATAGGTATGTCGCAACTTTACTGCCCACGTAATGAAAACAATGCATCTTTAATATTTTAAATTCAGACTTTTGGTGCACTTCCATCTAAAACTTTTCTTGTACCTACCTGAGCGATGTTACTAAACATGTTAAAAAATTTCGTTTTGTTTTATCTCGAAACTTATATTGCGGTAAGTTATGGTAGATAGTTAGTAGGCCACGACATTATTTTGCGTTTTCGTCTCCGACTAAGAAAGAAAGAGGCATAGAAAACCTTGAAAACCTCTAGGCTCTTTATTATCAAGTTTGGTATCTACGTCATCCGTCGTGATTTGTATTTTGCGCTATTTTATTCATTTTGAACGTAAAGTTTTGTTCAACAACTTGTTGCTTTCGTAACTTGAATGTAAACTAGACGGAGGTAGTCTGGTCGGTGGTCCAGATAAGGAACTATGAATACCATTTGGTTTTCTGTATATCTGAATTAGTTAGGTATTTTAGATAGACAATTGTGTCAAAATATGGTGTAAATGTTTATTCCTAAAAATAATCTGATATTTACGTCGTTTCACGTCTTTAGTTTATTGGTCTTATTTTATAGGTAAAGACCGTAGTATTGCAAATAGTTATTGATGTTGGTTTTTTGATACATTATGTCATAAAAAAATATATTTGAAACAGATACCTGCAATTTATTATAATCTCTTTAATTTTAAAAAGATACATCTTCTTAAACTGTCAAACACCAAGCGGTCACCGGTGACCGCAACCTATTGTTCTTTAATTGTGTCTATAAATACGGTACTCGACGAGTTAAACCTGAACAATAACAGTATGTAGTAGATTCAGTATGAGAATCAACATTGAAGCAAAAAAAATATATAATGAACTACTAACATTGATTTTCTAATTCTTTTGAATAGCAAACTTAGTAAATAATTCAAGCAGTTTGATGATTATGGTCTCATGTAGAACAGTTGAAGTTGGTTGAAAAGGAGTATGTATAATTATTGCACAGCAGATCTGGATATACCCTTCAATAGCAACATTAACATAGAATTGGATGGCTTTTTAAATGAAACATCAGCTACTTTTGTACTTATTGTCAATTTTTTGTACTTTTAGTGATCGTGTCTTGGTCATCGCAGTCCAAGTATTCTGTGTGCATATTTTTTATATTGTTATGTTATTTATACAATAAAAATAGTAATGATAGTAGAGAAGCTTGTTGGTAAAAAATACCAGCTGCTGAGGTCCATCTCCGGGCTTAAACTAGTGTGGCGAGTTTTGTCCGTGGATGGGTTATGGATACCCACCACCGCGTGTGGATCGCCACACTAGTTTAAGCCCGGAGATGGACCTCAGCAGCTGGTATTGTTGACCATCTTTCACAGGAGGTTTTTGGTTAGCATTCTGTTCCTACTTATGTATATGTTGTATTTCTCAGTCAAGTCAATGTAAATTGTTATTGAAAAATAAGTGTATAAACTGAAAACTGCAGTGACTTACATAATGTTCATAACAGTGTCCAGTGTCAGTATGTGACACTATTATAATAAAAAACTAGTCATTGCCTTTTAGTGTATATAAAACAAATAAATATAAATGTATATATAAAGTATGCGCTTTTTACCAGTTTTGCCACTAGTTTTATTGTAATATTAACAGTGAGATCTTTATTCAGGATTGGGAAAATTTGGAACTTTTTGATTTATTACAGGAAGTAGCATACCAAACATATAAAGCCCTCTACCCTCTTCAGAAGTGTAAAAAAAAATTGATGGTATTTTGTCTAGAATATGACTGTGTTGTTTGAATATTCTAAATTATTTACACACTTGAGAATTTAAGCTTGTTTATGGTTTAGTTACCAAATGTAAAAATATTAGACATATATTTTGTTTTACCAAATCAATAAAAATATACTCAGGATGATTCATAAATGTTCTATGTTCTGGTAGGTAGCGGCTACCAGACATTGTGAAACAGGCGCTAAGACTAGCCTGTTTTGCCTGCAACTTTGTCAGCTTGGATTTACTGCCTAGTTTTTTCAATGTTGTATAAAGGATCAGCTTTCTTATGATGAAAGAATACTGGTGGAACTGGAACTATGGATTAAAATCCTAGGGCTTCTATCTTCTTTACAACTGATGTTATTTGGATGAAATTTGATACAACATTTAACACAAAAACTTCGGAAACGGGAAATAGTATACGTTTCAATCGTGGTGCCCTGTATTTTATAAACTACTGAAATAAATTAATAAGAAAAAGGCTCATTTCAGCAGCAGATGTAAACTAATAGAAGCAGCTTTCTGAGTCTGTTACTATATCACAATAATGTAAATTAAAGTGTTAAAACAATACTGATTACATCTAATACATCCATAGAATAGACCTGATTGAAGAGGCCATATAGTTACTTTATTTAATCAGAATGGCGTTTGGCCACGATCTCGCCTGGTAGTAAGCGATATTGTGTCCGACCATAGAACACACCATAGAGCAACCTCATGCGAGGGTTTATTACTCAAGTATAGGTTCACTCTTGATTGCCACGAGCAACGACATCTATTCTAACGGTCTTACTATGTGTTTCTTATTTTAAAACCCATCTTATAAAGTTATGTGAAAATAAAACGGTACTCAGTCACAAATGTCTGTAATCGGTTTCAGATCGATCGTATTAACCATTTAGGTCTGATTTTTCTAACTCCAGATAAATTTTATTTGAGAAATAACTTTGAATATTTGCCAATTCTTCCATACTAAAAACTGTCGAATGTCAATTTTATTCTACAGTTAAGAATTAACTGATGATTAAAAAATCGGTACTTAGTCCTCTTTTTACAAATGAGAAGTCGGCCAAAATCTTGGACATAATGGGGATGATGACAGGGTATGAAAATTAAAAATATAATTAGTCCGTAAGTTAGGTAATGAAAAAATATTAGACACGTATTTTTTTATTTTGTCGTATAATAAAACAATACTTAGATAAAACGAATCAAAGTTTAGGAGTGGGGGCTAAAACGTCATTCCTTAGTATAAAATGTACTGAGAAGTGACGTCACGCGACATTTCAAATCAATATATCTTCGAAACTATTCGTTTCTGTGAGAAAATAAAAAATACGTGTCTAATGTTTTTAACTCGTCGAGTACCGGTTTTATAGACACAATTAAAGAACAATACGTCGCGGTCACCGGTGACCGCTTGGTGTTTGACAGATTAAATAATCTATCAGACGGACATTAAAATAAAAATTAGTCGTCTACCCTATTCTTTATTATTTATCAACCAGAATTATTCACTAGACCACTAGTCATCTCTATTACTTAACTGTACCTGGGCCTCTCGCACTAGACAAATATATTATTATATTTTCATATATTAATTCTCATTCATTGCATATTCCCCGAAAAATATTTTATTTCGCGATATAAGGTTGCCTCTGCTAAGTAGCACAAGAGCTGCTTTAATAACCTCTGTACAAACAGTATAACCTAAATGATATTATTAACCTTGGTATTATTTGATTACAGTCACAATATTGACTACCTCTTTTAAATTTTTCAAATTATTAAAAAGAGCGAAATACGAGTTGTTAACAGATGTATCATCAGGAAAGAGGAACACCAACTACCCACACAAATAACATTTAGATTGCAACTATACCTCCCTATACAATATACAATATCGGTACAAAGACGTCTCCTTTTATGAAACTTCGTCACAATTTAATTTTCCGTTATCGATATTATACCAACCATATTGTTTTTATGGTACTTTTTCTACAGGTCCGAGGTCAACGAACGCAGATCAGGACTTCTTGTCTCTTTTAGCTCAACAAGTTGCGATGACGTAGAAACGAGCTCGTAAACTCAAGGTTGCATTTCATCCTCGTGTTTTGATATTGTACTCGAATATATTTTGAACCTGCTTGCTTAAACTAAGTTTATGCAATGGATTTTTAAACATAAGTCGTTAGACAATCGTAAAGTTGTCGATATACTGTTAGTTATTGAGTTATTCGACAAAGAGGTTGCAATGGTTAATGATAAACAATTCTTAAATTAACTAATCGTTTAAGTAATAATCGTTTAAGTACTAATCGTTTAATTCGATTAAAATACGTGTATTGCTTGCTTACAAAATGTCATCACACAAAGACGTAAAACATCATAAAAACATTAAAGGGTAGGTAAGTACCTAAATAAAGGTACCGTGGTCCAAGCAGTGTCTCATCAAATCTTGAAAAGAAACCTGAACACGTAGAATCTTACAATTCTCATTTATCGTTTACTTTATTCTCTGAAAATAATTTGATACACTATACCATACAATGTTCATTGTTGTTGTATACGAATGACGAAATTTCATAAGATGTGGGTGCTGCTGCATATGCTAATACGGAGAACACGCATTACATTCTTTACTTAGAACAGTCAGATCAATTACGTCGTTGTTATCGAGAAGTCCAGAAAATGTCAACATCAGTACTCTCGTGCTTGTTGCTTTTTCTGATATTCAGTTAGATCATAAAAAATCCTATCTCTTAATATTTCCACTCCGTTTAGATTATTAATTAACTAGCTTCTGCCCGCGACTTCGTACGCGTAATCCCATTTTTTTCCGTCCCCGTTCGTGATTTTCGGTAAAAAGTAAAAAAAAAATGTTGGTCAAAAAGTATCCTATGTCGGTCTCCTGGCTCTAAGATACCTCCCTACCAATTTTCAGCCAAATCTATTCTGCCGTTCTTGAATAAGTGGTGTAACTAACACGACTTTCTTATAGGTATATAGATTACAGTTTTGTCGTAGGAATTAAACGTATTGGTAGTACAACGTGGATGTATTGCAAATTCGCATGTGGTCATTTCATGTAATAACTAAGTTCAGTATGATTACTTCTCTTTATATTGGTACCTTAAAACGATATTTTTAGATAAAAGAATAATAAAATATTGTAGAAAGTTGAATGAGCAAATCTCTAAAAATACAGAATTAAAGAGAGACGGCATT